GTGTAAGATTTAGGGCAAAGGCTGAATATCCAACAAGTTAGTTTGTAGATCAGAATCCAAATGAGAATCAATATTAGAAAATCTTGCCTTTTGGAAGTATACTGCTTCAATTCTTGGATTTTGCTCTAGGTCAGCCTACCAGGATAATTCCGCCTCTTGGAACTGCATTGAACAAGTAAACTGGGAAGTTACAATCTCCTCTAAGTAACTGTCAGTAAGATCCAGGTGAAGGATAAGATACCACAGGCTGAGATGGTAGTTATAGAAATTGAAAGAATAAATAAATATGTCAATGGGGAGATTTGTTGTTTTAAAATCTTGACTCTACTCTGAAGATATCTTAACTAAGCATAGAATGAGTCATTGAATGAAAGAGAAGGATGATTGCATTCTCTCCACACTGCTTTTTTTTTTTTTTTTTTTAAATTATCTTCCATTCTTAGCAGAAGGCTGTAGCCTTAAGCAAGAGACTGTGGCTGAATCGGGATGAGGTGTCTTTAAAAATTCTAACAGGGAAAACCCTGCATTTTTGGGAAAGAGTCTCTGCCATCCTAAACATTGTCTGAACATTATATGGCTTATTAAAAAGAAGACAGATTCTTTTAAACCTTGGTAAACCAGACAGGAAGTGATATGTATCCAAATCTATATGCTTGGAGTGACAGTTTGGGACAGGGGTCTTCAAACTTGGGCCTTTTATGACTTGTGGTCTTCAACGCCCAGAATTCCTCAGCTAGCGTGCCTGGCTGACGAATTCTGGGAGTTGAAATCCACAAGTCATAAAAGGGCCAAATTTGAAGACGCCTGGTTTAGGAGCTTGCTTAGTACAGTTATTACTGCTTTCTGGTGTGTAAGATTCCTAGCAAAACAGGCTATTTAGAACAGTGGTTCTCAATCTTTTTAATGCTGCGACCCCAACTGGTTGTAAGTCGAGGACTAAACCGATCGTAAGTCGAGGACTACCCAACCGGTCATAAGTCGAGGACTTTCCCTGCCCGGGAGCGCCGCGCATGCGTGGTTCCGCCCCCTGCGCCGGCTGAGGCGTAGCTGGCAAGCGGCAGAGACGGAGCAGGCCGACCACCAGCTGGCCCAGCCCATGGGAGGTAAGGCACCCGCCGGAAAAGGGAAAAAAAAAATGGCGGACAGCCTTGCTTGGCGACCCCCATGAAATGGTCGATCGACCCCAAATGGGGTCCCGACCCACAGGTTGAGAACCACTGAAGTAGAGCCTTCTTTTTTCAAGCTAGCAAGCTTGTTCTTAAGTATAAAGGAGTACCTCACAGTGACATTTTTTTTTTGTCGTTTCCCTACCTTGTTTTCTTATTTCTTGTTCTTTGTTGCACTGTTGAATGCTGTCTGAGCTATTTCTCAGTCACCTCTTTCCTTTCTGAAGTAATCTGCAATCTGTTTTAATTCTTGGTTTGACTCAGATTTTGCTTCCTTCGTCGTGGAATTCTCTGAGTGCAGTTTGTACTGTGTACTGCAGTTCCACTGCTCTTCATTCCCCCCTTCCTCTTCTCTTTGCCAAAATCTCAGCTGATCCAGTTGACCTTTTTCCTTGGCTTTAATCCGTATTTGTGGCTCTGCTAGAAAGAGCCACAAATACGGATTAAATGGCTATAGAGTCATCTTTTACACAATGGCTATAGAGTCATCTTTTAAAAACACCCCAAACTGCTTCCCATCTGGTGATTATCTAACTCAGGAGTGTCCAACACTGGCAACTTTAAGACTTGTGAACTTCAACTCCCAGAATTCCCCAGCCAGCGATGCCAAGGTTGGACACCCGTGATCTAATTTAAGGGTCAGCAGACATTTTTGGGAAAGGACCAGTTCCTGCCCCGCCTCCACATCCACAGGCACTGATTAAAATGCCAGCACTGCACAGAACAAACTATTACTTGGCCTGGAAACTTGGCTAAGACGTGAGCCTGGCAATCTACCACTCTCCCCTCGGGGCTGAATATCAAAAAAGTTAGCACTGTAGCTTAATTGATTTAAATCAAAGTACAGGGCTGGAGCCACACCTGGGCTTTCTGAGCAGCGCTCAAAAAGCTAAGCAGGGTCAGACCTAGTTAATAGGTGAATGGAAGACCACCAGAGAAATCCGAAGGTTATATAGACTAGTTTGGAAAACTGAACAACATCCCCAAAGAAAGCAGTGGAAAACATTTTCATATTGTCCCTGTAGGTTTCTTGGCAACAAGACACTAGGAGGTGGCTCAAGGCATGCCCAGAAGGCTGGGCTGTCATGAGAGGCAGACCAATGTGGGGGCATTATGTGGGAGTTAAAATTGAGCAGCTCTCAGATCCTGCTTGAGCACAATGGTCATTTCTGATTTCCTGTACACACCTACTTTCAGCAGCTCTTCTGTGCTAAATGTTCTTCTGCCCAGCTGAGCCTTCTTCTGCTTCCTTACGTGTCATACTCAGAAGCAGAGGCATTTCCGAAGGTGGAAGAGACTCAAGAGCCCAAGGTCTGAGTCACATACCAGATCTGAGGCGCTCTCAATGCTGCTGCTAGGGCTATGATTCTCTGTGTCTCCCCTTGGATGGCTTTATCTCAATCCTTCTCCTCATCTTTGGATGGGTCCTCAGTTCAGGTGAAGAAATCACAGCATATGGCATAGACTTAATCCTATTTGGCTTTCTAACCCTACTGTTGTTATTTTCATTTTGAAGCAATCAGCTCCAATATCTCGGGAATCAAGGGAAGAGGCAGTCAAGTTATTCTTCAAAGCGCCTGAAGGCAGGACAAGAAGCAACGGATGGAAACTGATCAAGGAGAGAAGCAACTTAGAACTAAGGAGAAATTTCCTGATAGTTAGAACAATTAACCAATGGAACAACCTGCCTCCAGAAGCGGTGAATGCTCCAACACTGGACGTTTTTAAGAAGAGACTGGACAGCCATCTGTCTGAAATGGTATATGGTTTCCTGCCTGAGCAGGGGGTTGGACTAGATGACCTCCAAGGTCCCTTCCAACTTTTTTATTATTATTATTATTATTATTATTATTATTATTATTATTATTATTATTATTATTATTATTATTATTATTATTATTATTATTATATTTATCTACTGATCAGCTTTTGCCTCAATTCTCTCTAGAGGTTAAAAATTCATCCAGAAAGCATTGAGATTTCCAAAAAGATACTGTAGCCTGTTAATTGTCATTTAAAATGTCACAGAAAATGGCATCATTATTTTCCACTGGCAAGGAATAATCTAGCCTCCCCCATACCTTTTGAGACTAAAATTCCCATGTAGTTATGCATCACATTATAGTCTCTGATTTACAAAGGCTGTGCGGCATGTCAGATTAGAAGGCAAAAAGACATTCTAGAACATACAGGGGTATCAATGTAGCCAATGTCTATAGCTCCTTAATTCAAACCAGTTTCATTTTGGGATTGCACAGAACCCCTGCCAAGAACAGCTGCCAGAAACCCAGCATAAGCAGCAGCTGCTTTCAGGAATTAACAGCACTCTTATGTGCTCAAAAGCACTTCTGTTGCTTTTGAATACTGAATCTTATACTGTCATATAATATACCAAGAGAAGATGAACACACTATGTTCCCTTGCATCTTCCTGGCAAGAAATATATATATATTTCCCATTCGTCATCTTCAGGCTGGTGTTTTCGGCTTCGTGCTTCTAGGAGCATATATATATGCAGGTCTTGGCGTATTCAGACCGGTCTGTCTGAAAAACTTCCTGTATGTGTGTGTGTGTGTATACACACACACACACACACACATATATATATATATATACACACACACATATATATATACACAGGTTTAAGGAATGTAGCAGTGAGGTTGATGATGTAGCAATAGTAGTAAAAGTGCAAAGTTTGGTTTTGTTTTTTCCCAATGTAGGTTCTTTTACTTTGACGATCCCAAATGAGACTTGTTACTTGTTGGGACTTGTTACTTGTTACTCATTTACCACTTAGATGTGGTACTCTCTACCAGAGGCATTCCTACTGTTCCAGCCAGAGAATGGGAAATGCCCTAAATCTGATGCTTTTATCCATCTGCTGCCCAAAGGCGCAGACTTGATAGTGGACCATCTAAAGTCATTATCATTAAGAAAGGGAGTGAGGACATTTCAGGAGTAGATTCAAAAAAGGCAAGACAGAAACCATAACTGCATGCCAAAGCCCTGCTTCTTTTGTGTGTGTGTGTGTGTGTGTGTGTGTGTGGGCACATGAATGACACATGTAGAAAAGGCATTTGATCATATGGCTGCACCTGCCATCTTGTCTTTTTTGAACCTCCTCTGCAAGCACTCCTGAAAGGAGAGCTGTCAGAAGTGACTTGGATTCATCTCCATGAAGTGTTTTGCACCACGGGGTTGATAGCACTCTCTTCTGCTGGTGGTAAGATGGCCGGTCTTGGCTTGGGAAGCTGAACTGCTCTGAGCAAAAAGGTTTTCCTGGCCATTCACATCATGGGGCTGAAATCTTTGCCAAGTTGTTGAGTCTGTTGGAAGAAGTCTGCAAGGAGAAGCCAAATGACGGGCGGCACAGCTAGATGTGTACGTGTGTGTAGGTGGGAGCATTGTGTTCCCAAGCAGATTAGAAAGGGTGCTTCATTTGAAGCTGTTTCTGTCCCTCCACCCCTCTCTTCTCCAAATAGGAATAAATTATTTATTTTGCACAAGCAAGACAAATTAACACAAGACCATCAGAACCATGCTCTACAATGCAGGGGGTGGAGGAGAATTCTATGGTGAGCCGCAGTTCTGTTTGGGGGGGGAGGGAAATGGGGAGAAAATCAGAGCACACCTACAGTCAGATTAGCAGGCCAGAAGAGAGAACTCACAATTGTCCCAATTGATACCTTTCCTGGATGCAGGCAATGGTGTTTTTTTTATGAGACTAGCCTGAAAAAAAGTAGAACCCAGTTTCAGTCGGAAAGAGCATGTTCCTTCTAGTCTTTCCATAAGTCTTGAAAAAAAAAAGGCATCTAGTATGAACACCCCAGGCCTGTCCAAGCCACCATGGTCTTTATTGCTGTTATTTTCATTACTTTTCAGGACCATTTCCTGCTCTAGTCTTTCTACTGCTTCTTCATGTATCACATTGAAACATTTCAACCAGATAATTCTTGTAAGTAGTCAACCACGTGATTTTGCCCATTCTGTCTTGCCAGGTCTAGCGGGCTGTGGCCCCATCTGTCCAGCTGATCAAACCGAGCCCCCCAGTGGTGCAGGATCATTAAAGTGTCCAGGAATCCCTCCTGGGCCAGATCATGGGCTGGCGTTGCACCGGTGGAGGGGTCTGGCCGGTTGGGATCTGCTCCTCTCTGCAGCAGCAGCTCTGCCATTCTGGCGCTTCCCATCATCATAACCTGGAGGACAGAAAAAGGAAAAAGGTGAGTTTTGACTGGGCAGCCTTCATGCTTGTCCTCTATACATTTCAGCTCCCCCTTTTGGCAACAGCCACCTCACCTAGACTGTAACACCCTAGTCTTAACTGGAGCGGCTCTCATTTCAAGATTTGATTTTTTTTAGTCTCCCTCCATCTTCACACATGCATATAGTCCCCAGAGCACAATCCTAGTCTTTGAAACAGAATGAATCCAGAGCCGTATCTTTGGTATTAAAACCTGCAATGGGATAGGATGGAGTAAAAGATTGGAAAGAGAGAAAGTGGTGGTCCTTTTTGGTTGAAAGAAGCACCTCAGATGGCAAGGGTTTCATGCCTTTGGGTGGGGTGGAAGACTATTCTGAACACTTGTAGACAGCCACTGAAATTAAATTAATTCCAGGAAGCTGAGGTCCTGCGTCTATGAATAGCAACAGCATAACGCTATGTTAACCTCCATCTTTCCTTTTGATTTCGTTTCCAGCCTAGGTCATTTTGCACCCCAGAACTCTTTTCCAGTGAAACAGAAAACACGATTGCCTAGTCTAGTGGTTAACCAATTTCAGTTATGCCTTTTTGACAGAACTTAGCCATCTGCACAGTCATAGAGAAATTTGTTGGGCTTTTTTAGGCCCTGATAATTCCCCTAGGGCATGTTTAATGGTGCCTGTTTTATTCATAATGGCACATTCGTGGTAGATTCATCTTTCCCTATTTCTGAATTTCAGAAAGTCACACTGCAATTTGTCCAAATGGAATGTCGGAAGAGAAATTGACCCTCTGCCTAGATAAGTTCATGGGAGGTCTTCAAACTGCAGAAGGAAGCCTTGACTTCATATCCACATCACACGTTGTTCCAGCATCCTGAATGGAATGCATTTCCCCACTGGCTAATGATGTGCTAATGGGATAACAACTAAGTCAGAAGAGAAAACCAATCAGCATGCCTTTAATCTCTAAGGACCTGCAAATCTGGAAAGGGGTATTACATCAGAGGTAAGACAGATTAGTGATGTTGACACAAGAAGGATTGGTTAATGCCTTATATCATTAGTGGGGAAACTGATATGAGAAACTGCCAATAAGGAACTTGGAACCATGTTTCTTCTTTCCTTACTGCTGAAGAAAACCAGGGTGTCTAGCTTTGATACTAACATCATATCCTGTAAGAGAAAGGGATGTCTCTCCAGTTCCATCCTGGCTTGTCTGAATGTGCAACCATTTATTTCTTGCATTGCACAAGGGTCAGTGTTTTTTTCTCCCTTTTGTCAATGGTTAAAACCAGAAATAAATAGATTTGCCCCATTTTACTCTGGCCCCTTTTTCCTTCCCTTGTCACTACGTTTAGTGTGTATCAGTCTTTTTTTTCTTTTCCTCCAAAGCATAATTTATCTGCAAAATGAGACAGTTATTTTTCATTTATTGAAAGTGTGATACTGGGACAGCTGAGATATTTTCTGTCTAGGCTTTCTTTTGTGGTAGCGGTAGTGGGGATTACTTTAAATTCAGGATCATCTTCCTTTGGGATAAATATATTTATGTTTCAAATATATTTAAAATAATTTAAAATTATTTCAATTCATCTGTAATTCTAGATCTTCCTTGTAGAGTTTAATATAGTTATAACACAAATAGCACACAGCATAGCATAAATGACATACCATATGCTATTATAAAAAAAACCTACGTATTTTGGAAACAAAAAGGTTTCTTTTTCAGTCAGACTTGAATGTATCAAATAGCAATTGATAAATTATCAAAAGATGAGCTGTCAGTTATATTTTATTCACTAAAAGTAAAATATAATACCTAGCAATCTGAAATAAAGTGTATAACTCCTTTTTCTGATGGATGTGATTGGTTCATGGCAGCCTTATTTGTTGGAAAACGTCTTTGAAAAGAACCAATCTGGGTTAGTAATAAAGTATTATACTGACACTGGGCAATCTCAGGGTCAAGTACACCCTTAGCCTGATCCAAACAATTCAAATATATACAATTTATTTTCGGTTAGCACTGAGAACATCTGGCAGTTACATATTTCTTTCTGATGTTCAGCCTAAACAGATTCTGTCCACCCATCCTACCACTCCTTCAGGAAAAGCTTTAAAAATGGAGGGACACACAGACACACACAAACACACATACACAGGGGAGAGAGAGAGAGAGAGATTATCAAGGCCCCTATCATCCCTATGATATTGGCCTCATGTTGCCTTCAGGGCATAATTTACAAGGGTTGTTTCTGTACTATCCAGAGTTCATATGTTATATTGTAATTTCAATATAAATTGAATAAGCACACACAGAGAGGATGCTGAGAATGCAAGGCATTAGGCTAGAAGTTCACCATCACAATGTATCACAATTAGGATACATTGTCATCAGTTTTCTTCAACATTTCTTTTTCTTTAACTTGGGGTTGATGTTGATACTGGCTTCACAGAAATTAATAAAGACAATCAAGACACTTTGACGGATATTCTTGTTAAGAAAGCAGATGGACTCTGGAAAAGGATTCCCGCCTGTTTGGATGGATCCTGTTCTCCTGCTCCTAAAGAATCTGGCTTGCAGTCTCTAGGAGATTCAAGTTAGCATTTGGAGGCTTAAATGACAGCTGTAGCCAGGAGCTCCTTTATCCAATCTAAGCTGATGTGCCAACTGCATTTCTCCTATTCCTGGAGAGATCAGATTTGCTCTGGGTAATGCATGCCTTAAAGAGAGCTAGGTTTGTGCTGTGGCTAAAAAATAGGTTAGAAATAGGCAATAGGCAGACTGTGGAATTTTAGTTCTGCTTTAGGTAATTGGGGGCCAATCACTGTCTCTCAGACTTAGGAAAAGGGTAGTGGCAAACAACTCCTGAAAATATGGCCAAGAAGGCTGCAGGGTCTTGTGAAAGCAGTCAACAGGAGTTAAAACTGACTCCAAAGTAAATACACCAATGCTTGCCTTAGAGTCTATCCCCACTACTGTGTGAAGACACTGTCCCCTCTGTTTCCTATCATTGCAGTCTCCCTGGTAGTCGGTGCAAAGAAGCATGTGTGAAAGATTTTACGCATTTCATATCTAGCCTTAAACTTGTTGGCTTAAGAGGGAAAATACCAATGTAGCAAGGAATGCTTAAATACATCTCCTTTACAGGTGGGTGTGGATGTAGTCAATGTTATGGCAACAGATGGGGGAAAAAAGGTGTTGTACTAGGTTTGTGCTTGTACTTAGCTGCAAGTGGGAAATGCCCTTAGTTCAGTCTGATCAGATTGTTGCAACGTGTATCACAATATCTGGGGTCACTTCATCATAGTATTCAGAAGCCACAACTGGTACAAAATGCAGAATGCAGAAATTGTTAACGGGCACATGGCCCAAATAATTACTGATCCTAAAAGGATTGCACAAACTATCAGACAGCTTCCAGGCACAATTCAGTGTTGGTGACGCACATCAGAGTCCTATAGAAAACAGATAATGCCAGATGAAATAAGAGGCTACCTCTTTCCAAGGTTATTCATTCCCTAACCCTTTCTCTAAAATAGGTCACAATTGTGGCAGAAGAATACTTGGTGTGACAAGAGAAATTGCTTTTCCGAGTCCCTGTCTCACCTATGGAATTCCCTGCCACAAAAGGCCAATCTGGCTGCTATTTTAATGATTGGATAAAAGTTTTCTCTTTGGGAAGAGCACAGACCACAGCAGAGCTTATGCAAAATGTTACTTGAAGATGTTATCCTGCTCTTATTTTACAATATTTACTAGGTAAGCCTATTGTTAATCTTGTTTTTATTTCTCATTAATCGAGAATTTAATTTCAAGATCGAATTGAACCTTGTCCTGCTTTAAACAGCGGCTGGCCACCCTCAGTGATGCCTATGCATTAAAAATGTAGGGCATACATTCACAAAAAAAACCCCATATCTTGCCAAGTCCTGGACTGTTCTAGGATTGTTGCAAATATGGAAAGGCGGCTATAATTATTCATTTTTATTGCTTGTCTAAGGCCAGGAATAAAGTGACTTAATGAATTCTTCTGTGTGGTGCCTGATATGCTCTAACCGTGTTGCTTCGTTTCAGGGAACAATTGTCCCCGCTCTAAGAAAATAGGAAAAAAATAAGCGGCCTCCAGAATTGGCATCACAGAGAAGGGCCCTTTCAAGAGAACCAGACAGGAGATAAGTTGGAAAAGCGGGACGGCAGTTTGAGGTTTGGGAAAAGGTGTGGAGAGAGAGTAGAGATGAAAAGGCAGCAGGAGAATTATGAGTCAACAAAAACCAGACTAAATGGGCCACAGGCCGAGAGTGAAATGGGACCGGGCACAGAGCCATCCTTTTATCAAGATCAAATATTGACATTTAATGTTATAAAAGACTGATGCGTCTACGGAAAGTCTCAATAATAATAAGATGCCGCGCGTCTCTCTAAAATAATGCAAAAGGGAAGCCGGATGGGTAAATACATTTTTTTTTTTGTCAAAGCGATTTGCGAAGACTGCTGGGAAACTGAGCCCATCCAAAGCAACCACTTCACTCGAACCAGGCGGTTGTTTTTACTGAAGTGTGACCGCGCTGGTACTCCGATCGATGGCTTGCACGGCCCCGTCGTGCGTGCGGAGTCGTCTTGCATTTCAGCAAAACCGCGCCAAGGAAGCAACCGGACAGGGCCGATCGCAGAGCCGTAGAGCAGGGGTAGGCCACCTTGGCTCTTTTATGACGCGTTGGACTTCAACTCCCAGAATTCCTGAGCCAGCCATGCTGAGGAGAAAGGGAGAGGTTTCCACGCTTAGCCATGGCTGGCTCAGGCATTCTGGGAGTTGAAGTCCAACGCGTCATAAAAGAGCCGAGGTTGCCTACCCCTGCCGTAGAGTATCCGAAAAAGGGAGCGCTACGTCTTCTGAAGGAGCAAAAGCCACGCGCGGAAACCGCGAAGGGAAGAGACAACGTTTGCTCCAGCGACCGGTGCCGTAGCCTTGGCGTGTATAATTAGACTTAGAGCAGGGGTT